CCTCTGTGCCGGAGGCGCTCGCCGCCGCGCGCTGCACGCCGCGCCCCCCTCTTGGCGGGCGCAAGCCAGGGAGGACCATCGCCAGCGCGCGTGGCGGAGCGTCCGCCTTGCGCGCGGGCGGCGCTGACTGCGCCTCGCGGGCCACCCTGTGCCACGCTGCCACTCGCGGATGCCCCGCGAGCTGCCGAGCTCGCCGCCACGCCTCCTCCTGTCCCGAGGCCGCGGCTGCCTCCACCGTGGTAAAGAAAAATGCCAGGTCGTCGACGTCCTCGATGCCTACCTCCCTGACGAAACACCAGAAGCGAGCGCGCGCGTCGACCGGCAACGTACTCCCTATGGCGGCCAATCCACATTCGCCTGCCATCGCCACCGCCAAGCAAATGGATGCGAAGCGCAAAAGACAGCAGAGAAACCCGAGAAAAATCAAATCGCAAGGTGAGCGCGGCCACCGCGGCCCGTCGCCCCCCCTTCCTCGCAGCCCCTCGGCGCGGGCAGCGAAGGGGGGGGGCGCCCCCCCCCTCTCTTCGCCCCTGCGCCCCGAGCTGCATGCGCGGGCGACGTTTCCAAGGTGTCCGCGCGCGTACATTATGAAGCACTCACCCATGCCTGCCCGGGCCTAAAGTGCACCCATCTCCTCTTCCTCCTCCTCCTCTTCCATCTCCTCTTCCTCCTCCTCCTCCTCCTCCTCCTCCTCCTCGTCCTCCTCCTCCTCCTCCTCCTCCTCCTCCTCCTCCTCCTCCTCGTCGTCCTCCTCCTCCTCCTCCTCCTCCTCCCCCCTCCGCCCCCCAGCGGCCTCAGCGGCACTGCCCGCCCCGCTGGGGGCTCCGCTGGGGAGGCATCTCCTGGGAGCTCTTCGTCAGAGCTCGGCGCCGAGCGAGGGGGGGGGGACACTCCCCAGATCCTGCGCCGCCAGAATTTGACCATATCCACTGCTGCTGGGTCGTGTTGCGAGGACTCGGGGAGCGGCGGATATGGATATCTGCCCGCTCACGCGGGCGGGCAGATATCCATATCCACTGCTCCTCGAGATTCCAGGGCACGACTCCGAAGCGGTGGATGTGGACATATTCTGGCGGTGGAAGATCCCCTCGCGCTGCGAACAAATCGCGACGGCTATTTTAGTTTCCCATGTTCGACATCCGGAGGCCCTCACTGGACCCCGGGCCGTCAAAGGAAGGTTCTCGGGACGAAAAGCCGGTCCGGGGGAAGGGGTCCAGGCCTCTGGGGGTCGACGTTGTGGAAAAATCACGACGTCTCGGGGGTCTGGGTCCTGGGAGCTCTTCGTCAGAGCTCGGCGCCGAGCGAAGGGGGGGACAGTCTGGCTCCACATCGAGCCGCATCGGCGATGCATCGGCGATGCGGTGCGATCCTTGGGCCACATCTGCAGACCAGTCGCACGCTAAGGGTGCGCAGTGAGGACGCGAGGGCATTGGAGGGCCTTGCTGGCGTTCTCGAACGGGGCTGGCCAGCGAAGGTCATCAAGGATGGGCCGAAGGGGCAAGGATGCAAAGGTAACCTCGGAAAGTTCCTCATCCTCGCTCTGGCGGCGAGCGAGGGGGGGAAGTGAGAAGGAAAAGGCCTTCTCAGAAGGCGGCAGGACTTCTCGTAAGCTCTCGCGCCTGAGAAGTCTTTAGTGTCTTCGGGGAAGGCCGAAGACGCTTCTGAGAAGGCCCCGGGGACTTCCGAGCCTTCTGAGAAGGCCCGCCCCCTCTCGCTTTCCCCCCGGCCTCGCCGCCGAAGAACAATGAAGGGCCGTGACGCCAGATGGAGGGGCTACTGGTCTGGAAGAGGCCGGAATCAGCCGGGGGCTGAGCGGATTTGCGCGGCAAGAAGCCAAGGCAAGCGGGACTAAGCAGGATTGCACGTCGGTCGGAAGAAGTGGGCAAAAGCATGAAGTAGGAAGGCAGATAGAGTAGATTGGGTTCAGGCCCTCCCAGAGAGTAACACTACGCAGCAAACATATAACGAGTATTGAAATAGGAAGGCGCTTGAAGTAGACTGTGATCTGGGAGCCCAAAAACACTAGAGGCCCCCTAGATGGGGTCCGAATAAGTGGGGTCGGAGGATCGCGCCGCATCGCCAATGCATGGGGGATGTATCGGCGATGCATCGGCGATGCATCGGCAACGTCGGCGATGCATCGGCGACGTCGGCGTCGGGAAACACGGGCTCCACATCGAGCCGCATTCGATGCATCGGCGATGCGGCGCGATCCCCCGACCCCATCTACTCCGACCCCACATCTAGGAAGCCTAGAAATACCTTCCTTCAACGACCGGCGTGCACGCGGGGCAGTAAGCGGAATAGTATGCCCATTTTTTCGACCAGGGACCTAATCACCAACGCCGATTCTGAACTGAACCTCCCGGGAGTTGCACATCCTACGGAGAGGGGGCGACGACGCACGCGGCGGTCCCAAGTCTCCGACGATGTGTTGAGGGGCAACGATAGGGCGGGACTGGCATACGGGGTGGAACATCGACCCGCAATCAGCGATAGATCGCCGATGGATCGGCGATAGGCCCCCGATCGTGAACCTGTCGGCGATCAATGGGCGATTCGGGGTCGATGCATCCCACCCCATGCCTATCCCCCCCGATCGTTGCCCCCGACACGCGGCGGCCCCACATCTCCGACGATGTGTGGCTCTTTCAGCCACGGCGCTGCTCCTCGACGTCGGCCCCTGGAGCCCGTCATCGACCTCTGGGGCCCGTCAAAGCCTGAGAACCTGGCGGTGCATTTTTTTTCTGACCACGGGCGTTCTCGCCTGGTTTCGGGCCCCAGGACCCTCACAGATCGAGCCAGCCCGGAAGATGACGCAGAACTATGGGGTCCCGGGTTCTGGTCGGATTTTCTTTGCGATGTCGCATGTTTTGTCGCAACGTCGGATCTCAGGGTTCTGGCTCCAGATCGAGCCGCATCGAAGATGCATCGGCTATGCGGCGCGATTCTTGGGCCACATCTACAGCCAAGTCTCGTGCTAAGGATGCGCGGTAGTTAAGGACGCAAGGACATTGGAGGGCCATGCTGGCGTTCTCGAACGGGGCTGGACAGCGAAGGTCACCAAGGCTAATTAGGCCGAAGGGGCAAGGATGCAAAGGTAGCCTCGGAGAGTCGCTCATCCAGACTCTGGCGGCGAGCGAGGGGGGGAAGTGAGAAGGAGAGGGCCTTCTCAGAAGGCCTTCTCAGGAGGAGAAGGCCTTCGCAGAGGGCCCGAGGCGAGAAACTGCCCCCCAGGGAAGGGGGTTCAGCGCGGCGGCGAGGACGCCGCGAGAGCGGCGACGCCGAGGAGGAAAGGCCCCCGATCCTGTGCCCTCCCACGCCTTCCCCCGGTCATCCTGCGCCTCCCAGCTCCTGCTCCTGCTGCTCTGCTCCTTCTCGACGTCCCCCCTCCTCCTCCTCCTCCTCCTCCTCCTCCTCCTCCTCCTCCTCCTCCTCCTCCTCCTCCTCCTCCTCCTCCTCCTCCTCCTCCTCCTCCCTCTTCCTCCTGCGCTTCCTCCTCATCCTTTGATGTACGCAGTTCCCGTCTCCCGATTACGCATGACATAAATCCGGGCAATAACATCAGAGCAATGTGAAGGGGTGGGTGGGAAGGGTAGGATGTCAACGTCAAATATGGCGCGAGCGTGTCTAGCTTGTCCGTGTGTCCTCCTCTTCCTCCTTCTCCTCCTCCTTCTTCCTTCTCCCGCCTCTTCCTTTCAAGACCTCCGACGTCGTGATATGGTCAATACAGGGTCCCTCTCGACGACTGCCCAGGGACCAACTTTGATCCCATGCTGCATTCTTCGCAATGACGCACGTGACTGGCCCCGCCCTCTCCCTATCTGCACCCCCCTCGTCACGTCACGATTCGCGCCGGCGCCGCCTGGGAATGAGCCAGTCTTAAGCATTCCCAGGCGGCGCCGCCGCGAATCGTGACGTGACTGGCCTCCCCCCCCCTCCCCTCCGACTGGTCACGCCCATGATCGCCAAGGGGCCGAAAATCTAGCGCTTCAGCCTGAGACATCTTCTCACGGCCGCAGGGCCCGATGAGGGCCTCCAGGGGTCGAACATCGCCCAGAAGGTTCCGCCATGACTTTTCGAGACGCGAAGAAATCTGGGTTCCTAGTCGGGGACGCGCTGGCGGTCAGCGCGGACCCGGGCCAGCCAAGACCATGTCGAGAACCCCGGATGGCCGCAGACCCAAACCCAGTCGGTCTGGAAGAATCGGAGGGGATTGGCTGACCCCTGTGAGCGTCTAAACCCCTTGCCCCCCCGGCGTGGGACTCAGGGGCAACGCCAGGGGGGGGGGGGCCAGCTCAGGGGGGGAAGCACCGAGCTTGAATCGCCGATACATCGCCGACAGATCGGCGATAAGCCTCCGATAGCGATTGCGCACGCTCCTGAGCTGGGTAAGCTATCGGGCCCCCATCGGCGATGAATGGGCGATTTGGAGTCGATGCGTCCCCCGCTGACCCCCGGAAAACTCTCGGCAAGGCGCAGCTGCTGGCAAGCATCCCGAGGCTGGAAGACCAAAGGGAACCGACGAAATCGCTCGCTTCTCGAACCCGTCGTCCCCTCTGAGCCGATCTCCCCCTTCGGCTGCCCTGGAGGCAGGGAGAACCCCTCTCGGCGGCCTCTGCGGCACCGCCCGCCACCGCGGCAGCCCCAGCCAACCCTGAGCCCCTCTCACTAGCCCCCTCTTGCTCTCTCTCCCTCCTCCTCCTCGGTCCTCCTCCTCCTCCTCCTCCTCCTCCCCCTCCTCCTCCTCCACCACCTCCTCCTCCTCCTCCACACCACTCCTCCTCCTTTCTACTACTCCTCCATCCCACAACCCCTCCTCCTCCTCTCCTCCTCCTCCTCTCCTCCCCTCCTCCTCCTCCATTCCTCTCCTCCTCCTCCTCTCCTCCTCCTCCTCTCCTCCTCCTTCCTGCCTGCTCCTCCTCCTCCTCTCCTCTCTCCTCTCCTCCTTTCCTCCTCTCCGCCCCCTCACTCTCCTCCTCCCTCCGCCCCCCAGCGGCCTCAGCGGCACCGCCCGCCACCGCGCCAGCCCCAGCCCGCCCAGCGCCCCGACGCCCGCCGCGGCCGCCAGGCACGGCGCCGCCGGCGGCAGCCCCTGCCGCGCGGCCGCCTCGGACGCGTACCTGCTTCCGGCGTCCCCGACGGCCGCCGCCGTCGGCGCCGCCGCCGCCGTCTGCGCCAAAGACGACGCCGACGCCGACGACGGGGCCAGCTGGCATCGACGCCTTCGCTGACGACGACGGGACAGCGACCGACGCCGACGCCTCCGCCGATGACGGCGAGACCGCCGCCGAGGACGCGTACATGCTTTTGGCGCCCGACGGCCGCCGACGCCGACGTCTACGCTTAGGTCGGGCATGTCCCTCTACAGGCCGATTTGTAAGAACAATAGGAAATAGTCCAAACATAAGGAGAAACAAAAAGAGGAAAAGAGTAAGACAAATCGTCCCCATATTATCTTTTGCCTATGTCGACTTTCCCTCCTGGGGAGGAACATGCCCGACTGAAGCCTACGCCACGGGCGGCTCCGACGCTGATGATAAGCGCCGCTGACATCGACGACTTTGCCGACGACGACGAGGCCGCCGCCGACGACGAGGCCGCCGCCGACGCCGACGACGCCGACGACGGCGGAAGTAGGGGAACAAAAAGTGACTTAAATATAACTACTCGGAGGTCGGCGCGGATTTCTCGGATCGGCGCTGGACCCCCCTCCCTGGCGCGCGGAGCGCGCCAGGGGCGGCGCCGGAGGCGCTGCCGGAGGCGCCGCCGGGGGGCCCCAGCGCCGATCCGAGAAATCCGCGCGGACCTCCGAGATTTTATGTTTATGCCACTTTTTGTTCCCTTAGGAAGGGAGAGGGAAGAGCCGAAGGAGGGGGAAGAGTGCCGACCGTCTCGGGGGCGCCTCGGTCAACACGGCTGGATCCGCCTGGAGAGCCAGGGAAGGCGGTGCCCAAAGCCCTCCACGCGTCGCGCCTCCACTTCGGGCACCCGGCCCCCTCCCTCCCAGGGGCCGTTTTTGACTCCCAGATGTTGAGGAATGAAAAAACTACCCTGCCCTGGGTTACAAGTGCGTGGTCTGTAAACCTCCTGGGAACCCCCAAAGCCTAGAACCGCCAGGACGCGGCACATCACGCAGGGTTTACCCTGTCAGCCCACAGGAGTTTCAGCGCACAGCGCCTCGTAAGCCAGGGTAGGGGCGTTTTTTATGCCCTTGAAGATGGCCTTCGGATGGTCCCAGGGCCCATCGCGGGGCCCACAGATGCCGAAGCTGAAAAACAAGCATCCAAGAGATCACTTCGCTGGAGGCCTGGGCCCTGGGAGAGGTCTCACGGTCTGCCTTGGATGTCGACGGCGATCGGACGACCACCACTGCGGACACGCGTGCGGGCCTAGTTAGCTGAGACCAATAGGAGGCCCTGGCCTCTGGCTTACGCTACCGTCCGTGTCACGCGAGACAGGAGAGTGGGGGGAGCAGCCGTGTAGCAGAAGCGATGGGAAGCCTCGTCCACTCACTGTGCGTAAGTGTGGGGGTGGCGTCACAACTTCTTGAAGGAGGCAAGCTCGGAACGCTATAAGTCGGGGAATCGTTTACAGCCGGCGGGTCTGGAGGATGTATCGGACGCCAGCGGCCGTCCGAAGAGCGTCCGAGGAAGCTCCGGGAGCACTCCGCAGAGATCTGGGGCCTGCGCTTACATCCGCGGAGCACCCGCACGGGGAGGACCGCAGGACGACTAGAGAACCATCCCGGGACACCGCAGTCGGAGAAACCGGCCGAACCGGCAGCGAACGTGAGACAGACCGAGGCCGAGTCGGAAGAACTCAGCAGAGAATGGCGCAACAGCGCAGCAACGGCACAACTGCAGTCGAGCATCAGATCAAGGAACCTCCTCTCAAAAGGCTGGGCCAACTGTTCTTCACCAACTTGCTGGAACGCTGGCACAATGTCTTGAGCAGGTTCGCCCCCTAAAACAAGTGGCCAAAGCTTGTGTCGATAAGAGCCTTCCGGGAAGCTGGCCCCGATCCCTTCAATGGTGCTCCTCCTGATCGCACTCTCGGCTGCAAGCGGCCAGGCCGAAGCGGCCGACGCGACCGAACGCAACCGACCACGACGGCAGAAACGCGGACCCCCTGCACCTCCCCCCCTTCGGGCACGCCCTGCAGTCGGACCTGGGATAGAAGAGCATCCTTTAAGAGCACGAGGCCCTCCGCAGGCCTAAGAGCATTCGAGGGTACCCCAGGTGGCCATGTTTATCGCTTTCCTGGGCAACGGTCGTTACCGGGCGGGGGGGGGTCTGGCGAGAGGGTAACGATAACGGCGGCCGCGGCGTGCATCCGCCAGGGTGCGTCCGCGCCACTGGCGCATCGCCTGTGTGCACTCCAGCATGTGGGGTGGGGGGGGGGCCCAAGCCATCCCCCACAGTACGATCTCTTGCGGCGTTACCCGGGGGGGGGGGAAGCGGGTAACGAGCGTTACCATGGGGAGGATAAAAAACACTCCCCAGGATGCACAAGAACATCCAACAAACACGAAGGACTTTGGGGTACCCTCCCCGGACCGACCTCGATCGTTTGTCTCCCCTGAGATCCGACGTTGCGAACAAAATCAGCATCGCATAAAGTCACGACCCGACCCCCAGACCCCATCTCTCTTCGTAATCATTCGAGCCGGATCGATCTGTGAGGGTCCCCGGTTGAGCAGGGACCGACCGTCCCGGCATTCCTATAGTCATACCACGAAACGTTATAGAATCCCAAAGTGTTCTAAGAACAAAAACAATGTTCTCAGAACATAAAACCGATGTGTAAAAACAAGACAGACTCCGCCAGAAATGTTCTAAGAACATCTCGTGGGAACCACAAAAGGCTATTTGAACATTGCTTGGTGGGGCTCTAGGCGAGCCGGGACGCTTCGCCACTGCTTGACCCGGGCCCTAAACCGAGCGAAACCGCCGGGCCCGAAACGATCGAGTCGCCAGGATCTCAGGACAGTGAGATCGCCGAGCCGACCCGACCTCGATCTCGTGCCCCGGTCCGACCGACAAACCGCCCTCCCATCCGCGGCGGGCCCCGCCCGTGGCGGCCCCCCTCTAATTAGGCGGTTGCGGTTGCCCAGGGGGTACCCCTGGCTCCAGGTGCCCCCAGCTTCTCGCTCACTTCTTGAGCCCCCGGGGCCCTCTGGGCCTCGTGAGGGGTGCTCTCTGGAGGCCGCGGGGGCCTCCTCGGAACTCTTGGGGCAGGGGCCTCCTCGATGGAATCGGAGCAGCTGGGGCTCGGAGGATCTCGCCGCATCGCCGATACATCGTTGATTCATCGGCGATGCATCGGCGACGTCGGCGATGCATCGGCGACGTCGACGTGAAGCATATCGGGCTCCGCATCGAGCCGTATCGGCGATGCATCGGCGATGCGGCGCGATCCTCCGACCCCATCTGCTCGGACCCCATCTGGGAGGCCTATAGACCCCCTGGGCCTCGTGAGGGCAACCCTGGAGGCCGTGGGGGCCTCATGGGGAATCCTGGGGGCACCCTGGGCCGGGGGCACTTCTGGCAACGCCCGATGCGGGGAAGCCGAAGGCTCCGGGAGCATCGCAAGGGGCCGGAATGACATGTCATCTGCAACGAAAGACCGCGGAGAACGGCGGCCAGGCGGAGGTCTCGAGGAGGCGGGCAGAGACGGACTACGGGGGGGGCATTGGATACGGAAGCACCGGCTAAGGAATCCAGAGTCTGGAAGCCGGCGGAACTCCAGTCGTGGACTGGCCGTGGGCTTCTCACCGCCGCCCTCCTCAGAGAAGCCCTCCAGGGTCTGCAGCCTCCTGGGCACATTCCTGAATCGGGTCGGGCGAAAGGGGGGGATAGCAACGGGGGGGGTTGAGAATCAGCTCACGTAGCTGATTTCCCCGGCGCCTCCCGGCGCCGGAGGCGACCGCGGATCGAGGAATGGGCCCCTCGGTGAGGCCGAAACCGGCTGCACGCAGCAAATTTCGTAACCCCCCCCTTTCCCAATCCCCCCCTTTTCGGCGGTGGACACGCTTCCCTTTAGTAAACCTCCCCTTATAGTGAAACGGCCTGGGACCGCAACCGACGGACCCGGACCTGCAAAAGTGACGGCCGCGACGCCCTCTCGCGAACCGAAAACGGCCAATCCCTTAATCGACGTGTCAGGGTAGTATAGGAGGTCTATAGCCACCTCCGACCCTTCCTCCGGCCCGAAGCTTGACTCACGAGCGCCCCCCCCGCAGATGGAGCCGCCGCGCCGCGGGGGCGCCGCGGGCCCGGGGCGCCTCTGGCAGCACCCGGCCCTCGCCCTCGAGTGGGGCGCCATGGATAGCACCGCCGCCCTCATCAGATAAACCCTCCAGGGTCTGCAGCCTCCCGGGCACATTCCTTGACTAACGAACGCCCCCACCGCAGACCCTGCCCCCCAGGAGGGCTAACAAATGGCACCCGACTTACACACCTATCCCAGAGCTATTCTACGTCTTGGTTTTAGGCAGTTTGGTTTCGTTTTTTAGGTTTTGTTCTTGATGCGCGCCCCCACTGTAGTTTCATCTGCGACTCTAGCCGAGCCCTGGCCCACTCCGAGAGTCGCCGGCTGATCGGGAGAGGCGCCAGAGCAGCTTGCCGAGCAGCGAGCAACGGCAGACTCGTACTGGGAAGATGCTGGCTGGCGCCTGAACCCTGGTCGGCCACGGGCGTCCATCCGAGAAGATGACCTTCAAAGTCCAGGCCGAACCCTCCAGGGTCTGCAGCCTCCCGGGCACAGTCCTTGACGAACGAGCGCCCCCACCGCAGATGGAGCCGCCGCGCCGCGGGGGCGCCGCGGGCCCGGGGCGCCTCTGGCAGCACCCGGCCCTCGCCCTCGAGGCCTGGCCGGCCCAGGGTGAAGTCGGGCCTGTCCCCTACAGTGACGAAACATAACGACTGCCCAAGAAATGATAAAAAAAAAATCCAAACATAGTCCAGGGACTATTTTTGGACTATTTTGGGACCTTTTTGGGGTATTTGTGGGGTGTGTTTCATGTTTCGTCGAAGATCCT